TGCCGAGGGGAGCGGCCCGTGAGCACCCTAAGGCCGAGGGGCTGGGGGCACTCGGGAGGGGCTGAGCCTCCTGGCAGCCCGTGGGGTCTGGGGACGCTGGGTGGGAGGGGCAGGCTCACCACGGCACCCCACTGTGAGCAAGCAGTTTGTGCCCCCTCCTCCAGGAAGCCTTCCTGGATCACCCACCCCTTTCTGAGGACAGCGTCCTCATGAGCCCACACTGGCAGCCCTCACCGTGCTGCTGGGGACACAGTCCCTCCTGCCTGTGCACCAGGGTGGGGCAGGGGGGCCCTGAGAGGTTCCAGGCCAGCGTAGCCCATGGCCCCCGGCTCCTGTGGTGACACCCAAGCCTGCCCACACAGCCCGGGCTGCGGGAGGGCAAGGGGAAGGACTATGGGCTCAGGCCTTCGTCTCTGCCCAGGGGCCACCTGGGCTGTGTCCCACAGTCCCCAAGGCCAGCAGAGGCGAGGCCCAGCCTGGCGGCAAGGACAGCGGCGCCATCTATGTCCCGGTGAGGGGGGCATGGGGAGCGCGGCTGAGGGGCCGGCCCCAGAACCGCCGCTCTTACTTGTGGGGGGTGAACCCACTGGGCTGACCGAGGCTGGCCCTCGAGGCCACGTGCCCTGCCCGGCTTCGCTGCGGGAGAAGCAAGCACCCCAGAACCCCCATGCTGCTGGGGGCATCGGCCACGCCCCCGGGGAGCACCCGCAGCGGCCCAGGGGGTCCTGCAGCCCAGGCCACCCCACCCTAGCCGGCTGCTCTCTCCAGGGCGAGCAGGCGGGCCGGGCCTGCTTGAGACAGTGACGCCCGTCAGAAACGGGGTCCCCGCTGCAGAGCAGCAACCGAGGGGTGCCGGGAGCCGCCCCGCTCCTCCCACGGGATTTGGCCAGAACAGAGCTGCCTGCTGCACCCGCAACCCGGACTGGGGTCCCCATGGCCACAGCAGCCAAGGAAACAGCCGCAGGGCTGCAGGCACGGCTCCCAGCAGGGCCTCCCGAGAGGCCGAGTTGGCCCCAGGCCAGGCCAGGCGCCCAGGAGCCCAGCAACACGGCAGGCACCCGGATGGGCCTGGCCTCCGCCCCGGCGGGCTCAGGGGCCCCCGGAGACCCCCGCGGTGTGTGCACCATGGGGTCGGCCCAGGAAGGCGGGGCAGCGGGAGCTGCAGGCGGGGCCCTTGCCCTAGAGGTGGGCCGGGGGTCCAGGGGCGCGGGGCCGGCGTCCTCACCACCACGGTGATGCCATCTTTCTCCAGCGGGGCCTTGTCGTAGGTCACTTCGCACACGCGCACCACCGTGGTGGCGCCGTACTTCTTGAGGTCCTGCGGGGCGGGGGGAGGAGGAGGAGGAAGAGGCTGGGCGGGGGCGAGTCCCAACCCCCCTCCCCCACCCAGAGGTACGGAGCAGTTGGGTCCCCCCACCCCCTTCACAGCTTGGCTCCTGGCACACGGCAGGAGGCCCGACGCGCTGTGGCCTGCCCCTGTAACCCAGGGGCAGCCCCTGCACACTCCCCCTGCCCGCCCCCCACACACAGGGTGCTGACCCCGGGTCTCGGCGGCGAGGCCCTGCTTCCAGACAAGGCTATGGGGCCTTCAGAGTCGCCCCAGCGGCCCCGTGGGCAGGGGGCCTGGAACGGGGTGGGGCTGGGCTGGGGCGGGTAAGTCCAGCCCAGCCGGGCAGAGGGCAGGGCAGCTGAGGGTAGGGGGGCTGCTTCCACCCCCACCAGCCCCAGCAGCGATTTGGGGAGTGGTGAGCACTCAGCCACAGGGCCATGCTGGGCACACAATGGGGACACCGGACACAGCAGGGCCACGGCCCAACCAACTGAGACCACAGGGAGTGGGGAGGGGTGCCCCAGAGTCCCCCATGCCCTCAGCAGAGGGGCGGCCACCCCTGGAACTGAGCCCTGATCCTGGTCTCACTCAGCCCTGACCCTGGTCTCATACTGAGCCCTGATCCTGGTCACACTGAGCCCTGATCCTGGTCTCAGCCCTGATCCTGGTCACACACTGAGCCCTGATCCTGGTCTCACTCAGCCCTGACCCTGGTCTCATACTGAGCCCTGACCCTGGTCACACACTGAGCCCTGATCCTGGTCTCACTCAGCCCTGACCCTGGTCTCATACTGAGCCCTGACCCTGGTCACACACTGAGCCCTGATCCTGGTCTCACTCAGCCCTGACCCTGGTCTCATACTGAGCCCTGACCCTGGTCACACACTGAGCCCTGGTCCTACTCACTGGCTGAACCCCAACCTTGGTCACATTCTGTCTGTTCAGAGACTCAGCACTCACCCTGATCACATGCTGACCCCTGACCCTGGCCACACAGTAAGTCCCAATCCTGACCACATGCTGAGCCCTGGTCCTGGCCACGTGCTGAGCCATGGTCCTGCCCACATACTGACCCCTGTTCCTGGTCACACACTGAGCCCTGGTCCTGGCCACATGCTGAGCCCTTATCTGACCACACACTGGGCCCTGGGCCTGACCACATGCTGACCCGACCCTGGCCACATGCTGAGCCCTGGTCCTGACTACACACTGAGCCCTGGTCCTGACTACACACTGAGCCCTGGTCCTGGTCACGTGCTGATCCCTGATCCTGGCTACATGCTGAGCCCTGGTCCTGGCCACGTGCTGAGCCCTGGTCCTGGTCTCATACTGAGTCCTAATCTGACCACATGCTGACCCCTGCTCCTGGCCACAGGCTGAGCCTTGCCCTGGTCACACTCTGAGCCCTGCTCCTGGCCACAGGCTGAGCCCTGGTCCTGGCCACACTCTGAGCCCTGCTCCTGGCCACGTGCCATGTGCCCACAGTGCTGGACTCAGTACTTCCCCAGACCCTGATGTTGCCATGAGAGGGGCACCTTGCTCAGTGTCCTGAGCCCAAAAAGCCCCTCCCCGCCTCGCAGGCTCTGTGCTGTTTAAGAAGCCGGAGGGGCTCAGCCTACACAGAAGAGAGAAGCCCGGCGGCCACTGCCCCACAGCCCTGGGTCATACGGGGGGCAGATGCAGACTTCACACACACTTGTGGCTCTGCAGCCAGGGTGGCAGGCAGCAGGAGGCCTCTCCTGCCAGGGCAGCTCCAACCCAGCCCAGGTCTCCCCACTCAGAGGGCTGGAGCCCTGATCTCTCTCCACGCAGAGGGCTGGGGTCCCGGGTCTCCCCACGTAGAGGGCTGGGGCCCCGGGTCTCCCCACGCAGAGGGCTGGAGCCCCGGGTCTCCCCATGTAGAGGGCTGGAGCCCCGGGTCTCCCCACATAGAGGGCTGGGGCCCCGGGTCTCCCCACGCTGAGGGCTGGGGCCCCTGGTCTCCCCACGTAGAGGGCTGGGGTCCCGGGTCTCCCCACGCAGAGGGCTGGGGTCCCGGGTCTCCCCACGCAGAGGTCTGGGGCCCCGGGTCTCCCCACGTAGAGGGCTGGGGCCCTGGGTCTCCCCATGTAGAGGGCTGGGGTCCCCGGGCTGCTGCCACCCCAGGCCTCACCCACAGCGCGCAGGCTCCTGCAGCCCGGCCGGCCCCTCCGGCCCCTGCACCCGCCTCTGCAGCCCGCTTCCCTGAAAGGGCCCCTCCCGCCTGCGGCAGCGCCCAACCCACCTGGATGAAGGTGCTGAGGGTGGCGTTGGTGGGGTTGTGGGTGATGAGGAAGCGCATGTTCTTGTAGCTCAGCTCCACGGGGGCCGGCCGGTTCATCCGCGCCATGGCCGCCCCCGGGGCCGGGAGGGGGCGCCAGAGAGGGCTGGGCTCGCAGACCAGAGAAGCCCGCCCAGACAAGAGCCAGCTGTGCTTGTCCTAGGAGAGGCTGTCTGAAAACCCACCCCTCACTCCGCACAAATATTGTGCAAATACTCGGGAGGGGGAGGGAGCTGCCCGGTGCGTGGATAGTTAAAAAAGAAAATCCAGCGTGTCAGAAAAAAGACCCCCAAAGTAAAATGGGCAACTCCAAAGAGCTGTCTCTCGGGGCTGATGATGGTAGTGGGGTGTAGAAACAAAAGACGAGTGACGAGTCAGCGAGAAAAAAAAAAACCTTAAGAAGCCCAGAGTGAATCCGGCCGTGGGGACGCTGTCCAGTGCTGTGTCCCTCGCTGGGACGCCCCCCTGCATCAGTGGACGACCAACGGCACCCTTGGCTCACAGGTGGGCCTCAATCCCCCAAGGACCAAAGGAAAAATGAACTTGAAATGAACCAACTTGGGGGCGGCCTTGGGGTGGGCGTCTCAGGCAGTCTCAGGCGCACAGGGTCCCTGTCACGTTACCCCATCAGGGTCCAGCGAGTCCCGGAGCAGGGCAGGGGGCTTAGGCGGCAGCGCCGGCCCCAGGTCGGGCAGCGGCGGCCAGCGGCAGGTGAGGGCGATGGTGACGGCCAGCGGCGCAGGGCGGTCGGCAGCAGCAAGGGCGGCAGCGATGTTGGGCACCGCAGCACTCAGATCGGCCCCCGGGCGGTCTCTCCATAGGCCCCCCGGCGGTCAGCCGCAGGCAAGGTCTGGACGAGCAAGGAGCGGGAAGTTAGGGGCCCTGAGCTGACAGGACCACCCCAGATGGGGTGGGCAGGGGCAGGGACCACACAGACCCCAAGGGGGGCTGACTCAGGCAAGAGCCCGGTGCCTCTGCGGGGACAGACAGCCCAGCCCCACTCCTTGGCCTGCAGTCGGCAGACCCCGCCCCGCCCCTGAGTGTCTGTGGATTCTTGGCCCCTGTGCAGTGTCTGAGCCCCAGGGAAAGGGGGTCGGCACAGCCAGCCCTGCCGGGGGCGTAGTGGGGTGTGGGGTGCAGCCCCAAGCATGCCTGCTGCCCCTGAAGCCTCCTGCATGGCCAGTCCCCACCCCCAGCCACCACGGCTGTCCCCAGCACGGGCTCCCAAGGTTGGCAGGGACAGGAGATAAACAGGTCGGCCCTGCCCTCAGGGAGCTCAGAGAGGCAGAGCGGGCCGCAGGGGCCAGGGCCGGCCGCCAGGCACATGCCATGCCGCTGACGGCACGCAGGTGGCCAGGGGCCGGTCACACCGTGACCCTCCCCAACCTTGGGCATGCCACTGGCCCCTCTGCAGATGAGGGGTCCACCAGGACGCCCCGAAGTCCCTTCAGCTGCAGCCAGGGGCTAGAAGACCCCTCCAGGCCCTGCACTCGCCGCTCCTACCTGCTCAGCCCAAGACACGGGCACGGCACGCCACCCTCACCGGGCAGAGCCGCAGCCACCACCTCGTGCCTCTGGCCCCACCCCGGTTGCCTTCTCCGACTGCCCACAGGCAGGCCGGCCCCGCAGCCTCAGCCTGTGTTCCCCCAGGACCGGGAAAGAGGGACGGGGGCTCCACCGTGGCCAGCACAGCCCCACAGGTGCCCACGGCCTGCAGCTGCAGCTGTGTGGCGTGGGTGGCCCAGCACTGCTGGGCTCCGGGCAGGCCCCACGACCCCCAGAGCAGCCCTGGCCGCATCTTGGGGGCCCCAGAAGGGAGACAAGGCAGAGAGAAGGACCTGTCCCTGGCTCAGCCAGCCCCCAAGCTGTGTGAGTGCCTGGGTGTGAGCGTGAGTATCGGGGTGTGCACATGGGTGTGAGCACACGTGTGTACCTGTGTGTGCACACGTGCACATGTGTGTGTGCGTGTGTGTTGAGGAGAAAACAGCCCAAGGAAGCCACAGGTACACAGAGGCCCCTCCCGAGGGACTCACCCACCACCCCCAGCTGAGGGTCCTGGGAAGGAGGCGGGCACTCAGCCGCCCCACACCACGGCCACCCCAAGGCCTGACTTGTCACTTGTCTACGGGAATCAGCAGTTTTACTCGGCTGGGCTCAGGGGCCAGGGGCCAAGGGTCAGGGTCAGGAGCTGAGGCTGGACCAGGCTGGGCTGGGGTCTTGCCACACCCGCACCTGTCTCTGCAGCCTGGGGCCCCAGAAACACCCCCAGGCTCATCCGTGCCCTGGGGCCGCCCCCCGGGGAAGACCCTTCCTGCCCACTCACTGAGCAGAGCCCAGAGGAGGCCTGGTGGGCGCAAGCCTGGTGCCCGTGGGGGTCCCGGCCCGGCTCCCAGGCTTGTGGCTGTACCGGGGGCAGCCAGGCACACCTGGCCCCCTGCTAAGCCCAGGGTCCCAGGTCTGGGCAGAGGGCTCCCGGCCACCCAAGCCTCAGGCTCTCCACCTGGGAAACAGGCGGAGCCCCTGCCCCCCAACCAGGGGGCTCCGCTCCAGGGGCCTCTAGCCGCCTCTGCACTGGACGCCACGCCCACCAGCCCCCATGCCCATGGGGTCCTGTGGGGAGCTGCAGCTCCTCCCTCCAGGGAGCCGCGGCCTGGGCCCTCTGCTGTGGGACCAGGCGTGCAGCCCGACGGCTTTCTGCCCGCTCAGGTCCAGGAGAGGATCCCACTGAACCCCAGCACAGAGGAAGCCCAGGTTCAGGCCGGCCCCGCCTCATTCCTTGCGGAACCCCGCCTCACAGGGGCCCCGTGTGACCCTGCAGGCAGAAGGCTCGTGGGGGCCCCGGGGAAGGGCCGAGATGCGACGGCTGGGGGCTCCCCCGCACCCCTCCTGGGGCGTCGCCGCCCGGGGGCGGGGCTGGGGTCCTAGGTCCCGCCCACCCGCCCGCACAACGCGTCCCGCCGGCCGGCTCACCAGCGCCCGCACGCCTCCCGCCGCCTCCATGCGCGCCGGGCCAGGCCGGGCCGCGCTCGCCGGCCCAGATCCCGCCGCGCGGGCCTCGCAGTGGGCGCCGGCTCCAAGGCGGTGCCCGGCCGGCCCCGGCTATTTATAGCGCCCGGGCGTCACGTGGGGCGGTGACCCGCGGGCTCTCGGGCCGCGGGGGCTCCCACACCTGCCGCCTAAATATAGCCGCGGGCCGCTGCCCCGGGCGCTCACACAAAGGGGCCGAGCGAGGAAGAGGAAGCGGCCTGGCCGCAGGAAGGGATAGGCGCGGGGCTCGGCCCTTCCTCCTAGCTCCGGTCCTCGGCCCTGGGGGGCTCGCGGGCAGGGGTCTCCAGCAGGACGTGCGCCTGCGAGGGCCCCACGCCGCAGCCAAGGCAGCTCTTGGCGCGCCCAGCACCCGCACAGGCCAGCGAGGAGCCAGGGCAGCTGGCAGCCCCACGGGGGTCCGGCTCTGCACCCACCTTGTGCACCAGAGCTGCCAGCCCCTGGGGACCCCTCTGCAGGGGGCTACTCTCATCACCCCACCACAGGAGTGGAAAATGAGGCGCAGCTGATGTCTCCCAAGCACCAGGACTGGGGGGCCCACCTCCCACTCAGGGCGCCCCGAGGGTACAGGTACTGCTGGTCCCCAGCATTCCTTGGCTGGCCAGCAGGCGCTCTGGGAGCAGGGTAGGCAGTCCCCAGCACACAGGGTCCCCGGAGGCCTTGCCTCGGGCTGGGAACCCGGCTCTGAGCCCAGCTCCCAGACGCGCAGCCTGGCCCCTGCAATCAGCGGTCAGCGCCGGGGCCAGGGTGCAGGGGCAGGCTGGCCAGGGGCCTGGCGGCCGACTCAGTCCCCTCCAGGCCCTCCCAGCGCACACACCCCGGAGCAGGAGCCTGGCTGGGCCCCAGTCGAGGACAGCAAGGCCACGTCCAGGTTGCTGGCCGGCCTGCAGGAGCCCCACACCCACGACCCCCCAGAGCCCTGCTTGGCGGAGCACAGCCCTGGGGGGGGGGGGGAGCCAGCTGCTTCTGTCCCTTCAACCGCAAAGGAACCCTGGTGCGCGGTCCCACCAAGCGCTGCGACGCTGCGGCCAGGCGCAGGGCCCCCTTGTTGCCAGGCTGCCCCGCCCCGCTCTGCCCCCCCAACTTCTTACCAGGGGCCTCTGGCTAGGCCTGGGGGGCACCTGCTGCAGCTGGCACAGCCCCAAGCCTTTCGGAGAAGTCTATTTATATCCGGGTAGGAGCGTTCCTGGAACCCTCCCAGAGCAAGCCCAAGTCTGCCCATCGCCGGGGGGCTGGAGGGGAGACCCCAGCAGGCCCAGCCCCTGCTACACTGCGCCGCGGGGCGGGGGCACCTTCCCAGCCCCTTGGGCCCAGCCCCCCGCTGAGCCACCCAGGTTGTGTGTCTCCCCCTTCCACATGCCCGCGGGAACCGTGGCCCCCACGCTGACGGGCTCCAGCCTCCCGCACAGGCCCTGGCACCAGAGGGCGCCCACTTGTTTGTGGAGGAGCAAATGACCCAGCATTCTGGGAAGAGGCCCAGGCCCGAGAGAAACATCCAGAAGCCATCACGGGATCTCAGGCCCAGGATCCGGAGGGGCCTCCAAGGTCACCACCACCTAATCCCCAGCTGGCACATGTCGGCCACAGGGCGCTCACCACTCACCGGCAGCTCCCAGAGTCGCCCGGGCACTGAGCCGGGTGCCAGCAGCCCCAGGGTGGCAGGGAAGGCTTCCTGGAGGAGGCAGCCAGAGGGCAGGGGTGCCATGCTCCCAAGGCCGCACTCCCTCCGTGACCTAGGCCAGCACCGGCCCTGACCGGGGCCAGTGACCTCTGTAAAGGGAGACGCAGCCAGGGAGGGGAGCCACCTTCCGCGCTGGTGCCAGCTCCGGGCTGGTCACGGGGCGCCCGGGCTGGGACCGGGAAGCAGAGCTGTTGGGAGCAGGCTTGGGTTTCCCCGGGGCAGGTACCTGTTCTCCCTGCCAGGGATCTTGAGCCGAGCCAGGCCGCAAGGACAACCCCATACAGGCCGCCCTCCCCCACACGTGGCTCCGACAGCCCGTGGGGCCTGCTGCTGACTTAGCAACCCCAGTGGCCGGCCCCGGAGGACACCCTCGCTTGTCCCCAGCCGGCCGCAACACCAGCAGGCAGGCGGCCGGGGCCCAGGGCAGGAGCCGGGCAGGGCTGCTGCGGGTCCACCCAGGCTGTCCCCCCACTGGACAGAGTGCTGGGGCAGGCGCCGCAGGCCCCGGAGCCTGCGGCCACTAGGGATAACACCAGGAGGGCATGTAGGCGACAGGCAGCCATGGGCCCCTCAGCAGATGCTTGGGCCCCCAGCGTGGATCCAGCAGGGTGGGGCCCCCCTCTTCCGGGCTGCACCCTCTCAGTGGGACCAGAAGGAAGCAGCAGGGCCAGGGCACCCACTGCCCCGCTCTGGGCCTGCCAGTCACCTGTAAGGGGACAAGCCCCGCCTCTGCGGATGCTGAGGGGACAAGGGGACAGCTGGAAGCCAGGGCCTCTGCGGCCCCTGGCAAAGTGGGGCCCCAAGTGAGGACATAAGAGCCCTCCAGGTGCCCCCTACCATTCCAGAAGCGGGGGGGGCTCCCTGCCTGGGGGCCTGAGATGGACACGCCCCCTCCCTTCCTGCCTGGTGCCCAGGGCTTCGCAGGGCTGGGGCTGTCCGTGTCGCAGGAGCCTCCCCTGGCTAGGATGCTGTGGCACCACATGATGCCACACTGTGCGCCAACGCGGGCTGCCCCAGCCCCACTGCTCCACCGCCTGCAGCCCCCTTGGGGCCTCCCCAGCTCAGGACCCCCACCCCCACCCCCGTGGGGAGCAGGGAACTAGGATCGCCTTCCTTAATTCACTCATTCTGCAACTTGACAAGCGTCTGTCCAGCCCCATCGGGCGCCACGCACTGGGCCGAGCTCGGGGTCACAGGGGAAGAAGCTGACGGAACCTGGGACCCAGCGGGAGCCTCTCCGACTTCCTGTGGGTGGGCTGAGCCGGCCTCTGTGTCCCCTGCTGTCCTGTGCAGGGTTAACAGGCGGCACCGCTGCTGCAAACCTCCCCCACGGCCACTTCCTCGCGTCCACCGCCTCTGCAAGCGAGGGTCCCCGGGCAGGTGCCGTCCGTGCCTCAGTCCTCCCATATGGGAAATGGGACCACACAGTGACCAGAAACGAATCAAGGCACGGACAGTGCTGGGAGCCATCGGCATCACCCGTGTGACCCCCCCCGTCCCCATGCACGGCACACCGCCTTCCCCCCTCTGGCCGCGGCCTGCACTGGGCAAGGAAGGGTCCAGCAGGGCCTGGACGTCCCCCGGGCGCCCAGTCTCAGAGGCTCCCTGCCCCTCCTCCCAACACCCAGACCTGCGCTGCCGGCCCTGCCCTTAACATCGAGTGGCGCATCCCCAGTGGTCCCCAGGCCTCTTTCTCTCTCCCCGCCCCCACCCAGCCAGCCACTCCACTCCCCAGGGACCTGCACCAGAGGCGACCCCACGCGGTTCAATCGGCAGGCGCCCCGCCCCCAACCCAGTACACCCCCATCAAGGGCCCACGTCCCCTGCCCTGGCCTGGCTCGAGCAGGGGTGCAGAACGGTGGCCTCCACAGCCCCGGGGCTGTGGCCACAAAATGCAGTTCCCCCGGGGGGAGGGACACAGCGGGAAGGGTGCCGGATTGGCTCCTCCCGGGAACCTGGTCTCCCCACCCAGGCAGGGCCCCTCTTCCTCCAGGAAGCCCTCTGGTGCCCTCCGTGCCTGGGTCTCCACACAGCCAACCCCAGGGAGCAGTCGGGTGGAGGGCAGTGGGGACACTCAGTGGACTGCGGCAGATGACGTGGGACATGGAGGGAGCAATCCTGGCAGCTTCCCAGAGGAGGTGGCAGAGACAGTGTCCCCCGCAGAGTGGCACGGGGAACAGCCCAGCTTCTACACTGAGCCCCAGGTCAGCCCCACACACGCACACACCCCCACCCGAGACCACAGCCTCGCAAACCCCATTTTACCCAAGGCCTCGGACAGGCGGGCGGAGCACCTGCACCTGGTCTGTAGCCCGGGGTCCTTCTCGCTCCCAGCCCCGGGAATCGCACAGCGCTGGTGCTCAGAGCCCAGACCCAGGGGAAGTCATAAGCCACACGACAGGGCTCAGAGCGCGCAGCAGGCACAGGGGCCCAGGGACGCTGCCTCCCACTCCCGAGCCCCACGGGGCGTCATGAACACCCCAGCTGACAACAGCTGAGCCCTGCACTGCATTTACAGCAATGACTATAACCACGGCCGCGCCCGCCAGGCCCCCAGTTCTGGAGGGACCCGAGCAGGCCCGAAGGGTCCCTCATGTCCGGGGTGGGGGAGATCTGCAAGTCCAGGCAGCCACCTCTGCCCACACAGAGGTCTCCCAGCCTGGCCAGCCGCTGCCAGGGACGGGGGCGGGGCTGCCCCTGCCTCAGAGGGCGTGGCCAGTCCCTGCATCTTGCCAGCCAAGCCAGGTCCACGTGGGGCACTTGTGTGGGTGGGCGGGGGCCCCGGGAGTTCAGGCCAGCTGTTCCACAGTGCCAGGAGCAGCGCGAGTGACAAACCACGTGGTCGCGGCGTGGTGACCATCATTTAGTCAGTGGAGAAGGGGACAGAGGGGATGGAAGAGCCAGGCTGGACTCCCCACACACCCGCTAGAACCCCAGTCAGTCCTGTGACCCACCCCACAGCGGGCGTCGCCGCATGGGCCTCCGCGCACCCACACCGGACAGGACAGAAAGAGCCCGCCCCGCAAAGCCTGGCCCCCACGGCCGCCAGCTTGGTGGAAAGGGGTCCCACCAGCAGGGCGGCGCCCCGGCCCCGCCTGCCCTGGGGAGGCCCGGCGCCCCTCCCTCGCGGCCCCCTACCCCGGCCCGCCGCGGCGCGCACGGACACTCACCAGCGCCGGGCGCTCCGCGGGCTCCTCTACGCCGCGGCGGCCTTTATCCCGCCCGCCCTCCGCCCCCCTGCGCGTCAGAGGCCCGGCGGAGGCGGGAGCGCGGCGGGGCGGCCCCCCGCGGACACCGGGACACCCGCCCGAGCGCGGAGCGGGGGCTGGGCCGCGGGGTCCCAGGCCTGGGCATCCCTGGGCCCCTCCCGCGCTGGGCTGGGCTC